ACTAGTAAGGAAGCCCGCAAGGTACCAATCGTCGTTGTAGCCGTCACATTTCAAATGATAAAGTTTCGAAAAAGATATGGTTCTGTAAAATTTGCTCACATATTTGAGGAGTGCTTAAAGACTATTTGAAGCTTCTGCGCCGGGAGCTCCCATGAGTAACTCATAAACCTCGACACGTTCAACACCGTTCCTCACTAAACCATAAAAAGCGGCCGTAAGGAGAGGTGTGTATATCCTCTAGTGTCAACTTTAGACTACCGTAAGACGCACCTCTTCTTTTATTAATAGGTAATAAGTATAATAATAATAAAATAAATAATAAATATAGGTAATAAGCAATGTTACGTACATTACTACGATAGTTTTAGTAGTTTACGACATACTTCAAATTCAACTCACAGTAAGTACAGCATAATACTAAAATGAAATTGTGTCTAAGAAAAATATATATATAACCAAGTTATCGTGACCACCTAGAAAATGTTTGCATTTTTTATCTATTATAAGAAACTAAATATGGAAGTTATTAACGTGGACTACACACAACTTCCGTTATGTTTCCTATTATTCTTCTCTCTAGGTGAGTTAACTATCAGCTAGAATACAGAATTTACCTTTTTAAGGTGCAAAATTAAAGGCAGTGAACTTTTGCCTCGATGTCTAGCCCATTTCAGCCAATTTAATTGGTACAAACACCCTAAACACCCCAAACACAAAACCCTAAACAATTTTTATTTTTTTCAAATTTGGAATATGGGAACCATTACCAGTCAGCAAGCATTTCTGAACAAATCAAGAGGTTAGTACTACACCCATTTGCCTTTCTAAACTGCGACACAGATCGATCCGTGCAAAGGTAATCATATTCAACAGATGAATTAACGGTATCTTCAGTTACTTTTAACTACGGAGCATTGTAGTTGATTCGCTTATGTTCATTATGGCAAGTTTCACAATAGATGCGCCAAAGAACGCCGTAGAAGTAGTCCAGTATTGTTTGTCACGCTGTTGTTACTGCTTTGAATGACCCGTGGTCTGTGAAGAGGGAACCTAGACATATCGGAATCATTGTTCTAATCAAGACGAAGTTACAGCAACAGTAATAGATCCAATGTAAATATAGTATTTCATCCATTAGGAGGTTGTCTGCCTATAGATTGGTGTGTACATACCCAGATAGCGTCGCACGTAAGAATGCTATTTCAGATCCGTAAAAAAAAATTAAACGAACGCCGCTGTGTCTAAACATTGAGATAAATCGCGGTGAACGGTGCCGGTGTGCATCAACCTGTCGTGGACGTTCCGGAACTGACGAACGTTTCGAGTGGTTGCGATTTGTCCAGCTATTCATAATAAATCCCCTTTCGACTAATATGCTGTACACTAGACATCGGTGTTTGCGATAGATAAACTGACTACTGTATATATATATATATTATATTGCTATGCCACAAATGCATTCCTTACAACTTCCCCTCGAAAAGTTGTACGCTATTCTATTAACAGCAGCAGCAACAGCAGTAGCAGCAATAGCAGCAGCAGCAGCAGCAGCAGCAGCAGCAGCAGCAGCAGCAGCAGCAGCAGCAGCAGCAGCAGCAGCAGCAGCAGCAGCAGCAGCAGCAGCAGCAGCAGCAGCAGCAGCAGCAGCAGCAGCAGCAGCAGCAGCAGCAGCAGCAGCAGCAGCAGCAGCAGCAGCAGCAGCAGCAGCAGCAGCAGCAGCAGCAGCAGCAGCAGCAGCAGCAGCAGCAGCAGCAGCAGCAGCAGCAGCAGCAGCAGCAGCAGCAGCAGCAGCAGCAGCAGCAGCAGCAGCAGCAGCAGCAGCAGCAGCAGCAGGAGCAGCAGCAGCAGCAGCAGGTAATGTTGAACGTGGCTGCAATTGGAGACGCGGCAGGGTGATCTATCGAATCGAGCGCATGCGTCTTTGAAGCAACGAGGTATTACGTACAACTGACTCCCTGCTGCGAGAAGTGCCATTCATAACGAACGAAAAAACGATAAGAACAACAGCAGCTACTACTACTACTACTACTACTACTACTACTACTATAAGCACAACAATCACTCAGGGGGGAGGGGGGCCTCGCGCGAGTCACGTACTTACGACCCGATTCGATCAACGCGGGCCCTCAACTACGTCTGTTAGAAACATCATGGCAATCGATTCAACCACCAATAGAGGCTTGTACTGGCAGCGATTTAAAAAACATACATCGACGCAGTAGGGGGAAGGAGGGCAGTCTGCCATTTATGATGCTCATAAGTAGGGCGTTATAAAAAGAAAAGCGTGGGTCTAAACATGATTATTCTAGACCATTGTATGGGCACTGGAAGCATTTTTCGAATTGTCAATGAGTCTAATTATGTGGCCTATTGGCAGGCCTATAAATTATATTGTAAGAAAAAAAGGAGATCTAAGTGCTCTGCCACTGCGCTCAATTTAAGATTTATCAAGCAGAGAAGTAAAATTTTTCTATTTCGATTCCCGGTGTATTGGCAGCTTTCACATCTCGCAATGGACAACATTTAACTTACTACACCATTTCAGTTCGCTAAAATCATGTATGACATATTTTCGTCAAATGATACGAAGGATGTCTAATGGAAATATGGAATATATGTGCAGTTATACTTCGTTTAAGGGCACCCCATCGCAGACCTTGTTGAATTGACCACTGCTTGCTTAACAAAGTAGAGCACCCGACTAATATGAGACACATAAAGCATGACGATGAAAATGCCACACTCTTGTAGAATTCTGTTGTCACGTGCTCCTGTCGTCTTGGAGCATGTCCGTCCTCCTGTGTTTCGCCATACCATGTAATATGTGTTTATGCATTATTTGTACACGTGTACGCCTTGTTGAGCACCTATTACGCTCTTACTCTGACCGCCAGGCTGAAAAGAAAGATTTATGCGCTTCAAATTAATTAGCGTAAATTCGCTATGGCACCGGCACGACAGCAGCCTTCATAATAGCCGAGTAAAAGGGCCGGCTTCATCATCACCTCATCACGGCTATCGTTCCATTACCCGACCTGAAACCTCAGCTCCTTCTGGTCTCATTTTTCTAACGATGCCAAAGTGACCCATCGGCGAAGCTCTATTCCGTTCCTTCCTTTGCCTCCGAACAACTTAGAACGCTGTCTTCTAATCGCTTCACGTATAACTAGTTTCGTAATAGCGACCACAAAGATAGCTAATAACAGCTCGATCGGAAGACTACAATAGCCAAACATAAACGATATTAATGATCCGAGAATATATATATATATCGTAGGTAATACTGGTTATTACTGGAGCCTTCCTTTTCTCTGGAAGCTGCGTTTTTGGTATCGGCCTGGCTGCTGTTTACAGTTTGTTTTTTGTTGTTTTTCCAGGACGTGCCAGGAACAAGCCATTTTGAGCTACTGGTGATTAGCGCTAACTGACACTTCTAGGTGAACTTAGATGCTCACTTAACAATATAGACAAAGCGCATGAATTGAACACGTGTGTTAACGCTTGTTCGGTCTCGACCGCATAATTTCTGCTCATGTTCTCTTAGTTGACCTACATCCCTTAGGCCTTTCTTATACCTCACCCCTGGCCCTTTTTCCTTTTACATTCTGGAAAGACGACATTTGTTTTATCTTTTTCTTTCACTTTTCTTTAATTTACATAGATGAGTTTTCGTTTTTAGCGAACTGGCGGAAAACTCATGAGACACAAAAATCTCCTGATATTGTAGAATAAATGAAAAAGTGGCCACTAGAACCCTCTTGAGTACTTGCCTTCGTATACTTCGGCCCTCCGGCTTCGTTTTCGATTTTGCCCGGGGGGCAAGACTGCGGCCATTTGTAAGTTCTGCTTTCTCTAAGTCATGCGTTCTTCAGTGCGCTGCTGCTACTGTCAACATACGGAGCGATGTATGGGCCAAACCATATGGCTGGGAGCATATACACTTGACGTTTAGACATGGGTCTATCCAAGAGCTAGGAAACGGACGGAGCATTTGTATCTTTCGTTTACCGTGTGCTGTTATGGAACCCTTACTGCCATGCAGATCAGCCGACGGTTGATTTTGGTAAGCACTCGATATTGTCAGTTCAGCGGATTTTCAGACTGGAATATTATACCAGTTACCAGCTATTCCTTTTCATGCCTTCTATTGTCACAGTATATACAGAGCTTTCACAGGGAGGTTTAAGAAACACCCAGTGAATATATCGTTTAACTACGATACCAATCGGAAGCGCTCTAAAAATACGATGTTCGCATAAGTCGAACATATGAGTCAGTTAGGAAATAAGAATTTCGTCGTATATAAACTTGAAGTATCGCCGAATTGAGTTTTTTTTTTTGTTGTTTTTTATCCAGCATCATCAAAAATGAAGGTGTTTGCAAAGACTTCTCAATTCATCCTGCGGGATAAGAGCATTAGGCTCTTCTTCGTTTATCTACTCTGTGCCGATTAGCAGGCCTGCTACGACATCAGGCAGCTTATCTGAAAGCGACCGTTACCGAGGTGGTACATCTAATAACAATCATAGATATTGCCATTCAAACATTCGAATTGTTTTTTTTGCATAACTAATAAACGAAAAATAACAGCTATCCATATATTGAGCCGCCGAAGGCTGTTGAAGTTCTTGTTCAGCTGGAAGGCCGCTGCTGGACATGCATTCAATATAGATAGCCGTATTCTATCGGTGCTAGAATTAGACTGCAGCATGCGTAAACTACTTGACTGTAGTGACGTGTTCTGTGTATTTTGGTGTATGCAGGATTGATCGGGATTTCATTATTTTAAGGAAGGAGCGAAAATTTATCGATGAAATGAGCTGGAGACATATATGCTTTTGATTAGAACATTAATTATATTAAACGTGTTGCTTTGCGTGTTTATCGCTTTTGTTGTATTGACTATTGCAATATGTCAACGAGCTCCAGCAGGCGTTGAAAAACGGATCCTTCAAAGATTATAGTAAGGTGGCGCCAAGATAAATCTTCACTTGCGTGAAAAAAGGACAAGCTCGATTTATTCTACATTTCTGCGCACGAAAAGAAATCACATACAAAGAAAAAAGGGCAGGCAATCGCAAGCTGAGACCGAAAAGATTATGGCCTTTTTCTGCCTGTCCTTCGGCCTGTGCCAAGTACGACTGAAGTTTGTTGAACCGCCTTCAATACAGCGACCGAGCACGCAGTGCGGACGTAGCTGCTATACCAATGGGAATTCGCTAGATAGTTTCGGTGATTCACACCAGCCTTGATATAGATACAGATGTGCACGGTGCGACGATAACGGCTCTACGTGTCCGTTAATTTACTTTCAACATTTGAACGAAATGCATTAGCTATCAAATTCGGTCACGGAAACGACACAATATTAGGAATACTCTATGGACGGAACGGATCGCCTTAAAAATGAATTTCAATCGTGCTGAGAAAGGACGATCCGATTAGTAGCAACGCGTATCCAAGAGATACACACAGAGATGTCTGATTGAGGTGATATATTCGCACAGCAAGTCATCTGTTGGTCAGCGGAAATAGAATATGCTTTTTAAGTAGACACCAAAATAATGTTCTGTCTGTGAGTTAGCTATGAAAGAAAACTAAGATTTTGTCTTCTTCTTAGGTGTCTTGCATGCGAGACATCTAAGAAATAGAGTCGAATGGAAATATAACTAACAACCTCATAGGTAATAGTATATTGAAGATCTCATAGATATAGTTATGCTCAAATGTATCAGCTTGCTCGCAAACGATCGAGGCTCGGTGTTCCGCCACATTATGGATAGCTATAACTGACGTTTTTGTATTTATGATAAACTTTTATCATAAGGTATAATGCTGACCTATATGACATGGCGGTATGGTCTCTTAATACTACGACGGCGCTTCAGACAGTGCGGTGCGATCAATTAGTACGTTTACTCGAACGGTTTCAGATATAATCGCACGTCTACATCACCTGTCACATTCCCAGATGCTGCCATATTAACCTGCATGCATCCGCTCCGACATCTTCATTGCGGCAGGCTGTTCCGAGGCACAATAGCGCCATACACAAAGCCATAGAAATGAGACGCAGAAACTGAATCGATGTAACAACGAGCGTTTCGTGCATATAGTATTTGTCACTTTTTTGAGTTTTTAGTAGGTGACTGGACGTTCTGCCTTTTGGCGCTACTGGTTTTGACAACCTGTTGGAATCAATCTACAGGGCTTGATCATCAGCCTGACGTCCTAGTTACCAGGCGTCTTGCCATGCATGCAGCTCGACGGCCTGCTTGACGTAATTACGGCCTGTCATGTGCATATGTGTGCGTGTAAGTGTGCTTATGCTACACGATGTCGTAAGCTCAATCAACGACTGGACGTAGCCAAGCTTTTTTAGACCGATACCTAATTCTTCTGTCTATTTTCGCCTAGTTATCATAGCGCAACCGTCTTCTGCCTGAGACCTGATTGCCGCTTGGGAATCACCTAGATATCTGCGATACGACAGCTCATAATCGAGGCACCCAGAGCGTATCACACCACATACTCAATGATGTCACTGCCACTACGACTGCTACTGTATAAATGTGTCGTTAGCGGTTCCTTTTTTGATTGTTCGTTCCTTAGATTTTACCGACTTCGACTAATAAGACTGGCGTACGCTAACGATCGCTCACGCAAAGAGGCCTATGGCATTTGAAAAAGAAACCGTTAGAAATTGTCTTCTCTACGGATTTGGACACAAAGTCCTATTTAGTTGAACATAAACATTTTGCAGACAACAGACGTTAACAATGACGCCAAAGTTAGGCGTGCACACATCTCCTGTCACACCACGTTATTCCGCC